CATGGTTGGAAAACACAAGTGCTAGCAAAATGCCAAACAAAAGTTTACATCTATGCAATGGGAAACAAAACGACTTCAACTTTACCCTCCAGAATTTACGTGAGAGAATTCTTCTCTACTGTATACATTCCTCTAATACATCTATCCCACTGAGAAGCCTCTTGCCAATACCTTTATCAAGATCATGGTTATATCATATTTGGATCACTTGATTTTCTAATTGATCTACCCTTCATGTTGCTACTAATTCAATTACTCCCTGCAATATAAAACAAAGAATTTATCTTTTGAAAATACAGTGGATAATTAGGTCCCCATTCTCCCTACACTACAGATACTTATTTGCACACCTGCTTTAAAAAGCACAATATTTATATTACATATAAAAAAACCCATTCTAATAATAAACAAGTTGTATGATAGACATCTGTTCCTTTTCCTGGTTAACTTGCGTTCATGCTTCTTAAGAAAATGATAGTGGAAACTATAGATGCCAAATAATTCCAGCAATTTACCCTTATAAAATATGAAAAATATCATTACACTAGAGGATTCCTACAGGAATTGATCACACTCATCAAATCATGTTGGACACTTACAGTTGCAAGGAGAGGGAAAAGTTGGGGAAGAGAGGAGCTTTCCTGTTTCTACCTCTTGGTATCACAATGGTGCTATTAACTTATTTTATATTATTGTATTATATTGTATTGTATTATTGATATGATATGATAAGATATGATATGATGATACGATACGATACGATACGATACGATACGATACGATACGATACGATACGATACGATACGATACGATACGATACAGGCCGTTTTTGCACTGTGTTGTCCAGAGTGCTCCATCCCTTTCAGGAGAGAACTCATTCACCTAGTGGTCCAGAAAGTTGCTGGTGGACAGGTTACTCCAGAGAATGCCCTAGTCTAGAGAGAACAACCTTGCCCCAAGGCACAGCCTCTTCTTTTTTAAATCCTCACTGGAGGACATGCTTAGAGAGAGGGAGGAAGGAGGGAGAGAGGGAGGGAGGGAGGGAGAGACGGAGAGAGAGAAACATCGATTTGTTGCCTTCAGGACGCTCCCTGACCAGGGATCAAACCCGAAACCCAGGCACGTGCCCTGACCGGGAATCGAACCCGCAGCCTTTGGGAGCACAGGACAAAGCTCAACCAGCTGAGCTACTCTGGCCAGGCCGCATCCGCCGCTTGAAGGCGGTCCGAGCCCAGTGCCAGGTGATGCCCGGGCAAGTGGCTCAAGCCCCTCGCCCTGCGTCTGCACTAGGCCACTCCAGAGCTCCCTGTGGACTCAGCTGAGGCTCTTCTGACGACTGGGTTACAGCCCAGCTTATGTCATTCACTCTTCCTTTACCCCCACGATGCTGACCACAGTGCTGAGACCCAGAGGACGCCTCACAAACTCCTTCCTCAAACCCTGTCCCAGCATCTCTTAGTTTAGTTTTATATGTGTTGTGTTTAAGGGAAACCTGGAACTTAACATAGTGTCCTGAAAGAGAGAAAGAATTTGTCACAGGGCAGTGCAACCGATGTCTGCAGCTTCTAATACCCAGTGACATGTCTACATAATTCCAATACATTCTGTGCAAAAGACCGAATATTTAGGGAAGTTTTTAAAATGACTTAAAATAAATGCTTTACCTTGTTTAAACAAAAGGTTTAAATTATTCGATTGCAATAATGAAATCAATTTTTTTTCTCTAGGCACGATCTAAGGAATCTAAGAAATAAGATTTTCATTAGCTATGTCATCCCAATTTACATGCTTCATAGCAGAAAATCCTTTTTTGTCTTTATCTGTACTTTGATGTTGCCATTTTATTTCATCTTACTAAATTCTATAAAAAGTCTTATCAAATATAAGCCTTGGGAAATATTATAAAACCCATTTCCATTTTTATCCTATTACTGGGGTCTTTCTCATTGAAAAAATCCCTAAGGTGGTTCTCATTTTGTATGCAGTTTGAAGATACAGTTTAATGCCTGCAAAGACACTTATTCATTTTACCTTTGATCATAGCTGAGAACTTAATAGTATTTTTTAAACATATTTTCCCCTTAGGTAATAAAATCTTTTTTTAATATATTTTTTTAACCAAAAGATAACCTAATTTTGATGCTACATGTATAAATGTATATTTTCTCCAATAAGAGTTAGAAATCTCTTTATCACCTAAATATATGCCCTATAGCAATGTATTTCTGTTTTAAAATATGGATTGTTAGCTGCATCATAAAGAATTTCACAATATATAAACAGTGATTTATTAAGAAATAATAGCTCTCTGACCTTTTTCTAGCAATCTCATTTTTGGTGTTTTAATATAAAACACATAGGTACATTCACCTATTTTACCTAAATGTAACAGAAATTATGAATTCAAGCCAGAGTTGGGTAATTCAAATATTCTTAGTCTAATATCATTATCTCCCTTTTGATGAAGAAAAATGTATTTACTTTTAAAAAAATCAACTGAGTAACTAACATGGATGCATTTAGCAGTCATTTCACTGTGAATGGACTGAAATAATTTTGGTAGGTTGAAAATATTAGATTTATAAACATATATTTTATTTGTTAACAATTATATACTACCATCAGCCAAGCCTACACTCAGGGCTAGGGCCAGCCCTAGCTGTCCACATATGAAAATTACCTAGGGAACACTGAAAAACTGTGTAAGTCTTGGCCTGGCCTCCTACTGAGACAAAATGGGGAGTCTGTTCTATAATTCAGAGAGTGATATGACCAAATATATATATAAAAAAAAAGGTCATTGGGGCATCAGAATGTAAACAGATGGGTGACACAGGAAGGAAGTGTACCATTGGGGAAACCCCGCAGTGATTTAGGTGATGATGGAGCATTAATTAAGGTTGTGGATGTGGAGATCAAAAGAATCAAGAGACAGTTCAGAGGATAGCAAGGAAATAGAGTATAAAAGGAAGAGAGATTTCACTGTGGTGGGGAAAAGAATTGTTTAGGAATCTGAAACACTGACATGTGCTGTCCAATGTGGTTACTGAGCACAAGCAGTTACTGAGCACATGAAATGTTGACTAGTCTGAACTGAGATGCGTTTTATGTGTAAAGTACATAGTAGATTTTGAAGATTTAGTAAGGAAAAAAGAATATAAAATATATTATTAGTTGTTTTGTAATGATTTACATGTTTAAATAACAAAATTTTGGACCTGTGCAGAAAATGCTATTAAAATAAATTTCACCTGTTTCTTAGAGATACGAAAGTTGGATAGTGAAGAAGACTGACAAGAAAAGAAAATCAGTCATTTGGTTTACAGTGTTGGAGGGGAGCTCTACAGATATGCTGACTGCCAGAAAGATGAACCAGCTGGTCCTCAACCAAATTAAGCCTGAAAACATCACTGGAGACAAGAAAATTACAAAACAGAAGCTGTCCTACTTAGAGCACATCATGAAAAGTCAGGATTCTTTGGGGAGGACAATAATGCTGGGGAAAATGAAAGGCAGAAGGAAAATATGACATGGACTGACTCCATAAAAGAAGCCATGGGATGAGTCTACGGGAGCTGAGCAGTGCTGTTGAGGACAGGACACTGTGGGCATTACTCACTTATAAGGTCGCCAGGAGTCAGAGCCGACTCATATAACACACACGAGAAAATTTAAAATTGTACACGTGACTCACCCTTTGACTTGCATTGTGTATCCATTTGACAGTACTACCCTAGACAGTCATCTGACTTTCATTTTAAATGTCATTTAATCGTGCTATCACTGTTTTCTCCTTAGTAGAATGTGAATAATTATGCTCCCTGAAAAGCTCACAGGACTATTTGGAAGCTCAGTTGAAGTACTATGTAAAAGAAGTGTAAATAACAAAACATTTATAAATTAATTCAAAGACATTAAGTGAATAAATGAGTTTAACCTAATTTACTTTGAAAATAATTTTTATATAAGCATAACTTTCATGATCAGACAGCTAATTGATTATTATAAATAAGCATAGACTATGACCCAAGGAATCTCTTTGGAGGGGGGCAAATTTTTCACTGACATTACCTGAAGAAATTCAGAAGAATCCCATAATAACACATGTCTTCTATCTAATAATTTTGTAAAATGCCAATGTTCTCCATAACATATGATAGTTTATTCTATTTAGCTTAAAACTACCCTCCTCCACATATCATTAAAGCCAGCATTGTACAGTCAAGAAGTCATTGAATGAGCGGTTGCCCAACCTAGAAAAATTAATTTTCATTATATTATATTTAGCTTCCTTCTTTTGCTTGGATCTCGGTTCTGAATTAATAATTAATACATACATAAGTGTATTCCTTGCACAATCATTTATTTGAATACTGTGAAAGAGTCTGGGCTGCGCTGGTGGTGATTTTCAAAGCCATCTTCAGCTGAAAGTAACTGTTTGCACCTCTCCCATTTGGCAGGATTTTGTTATTACACACAACACTCATAACTTGCTTTAGAGAATCGCCAAAGTGATTTTTCATGAAAAAATAAGTGAACATTTTCTTTTGGTTTTGTTTTTAAAATTAAGTCACAGTGGGAGTCGATTTCACTTTAAACTGCCCTACATCAAAGACTTCAAGGTTTGCATTCGGAGCCCATGACGAGAAGGGAGCATGAAGCACTGGGTGTAATGTAAAAGTTATAAATGAAGTGGAGAATGTAAGGCACACACGGCTTCCCCTTCATGTGTTTACACTGTTAATTGGGGTACGAAGAGGGTGAAGATCATTTCATAATATTTTCATAATATGTGAAGTGTGATATATTTATGTCCGTTACACATAGGATTACATTATATAATCCTATATAAATGGTTGACTGTAGAGATTTTTGAAAGCCAGAAAATATAATTTAATATTAACATGTAATAAAGAAAAACATTAGGACTCACACCTTTCCTACTGAATTCATGATCGTTATAAGAAATGTGTTCTCTTCAACAACTTACCACGTGTTTCTTTAAAATACATAGCAAATCATTTGTAAATATTTCTTACCTGCATGTTACAGGATGCCAGCAGTCCTCAGAGTGTCTCCTTCTCTGTCCTGTCTCCTCCCCCAAGCTCACCAACAAGCATAGCAAAAGGCTGTCTTCAGTTCTGCAGTTTAAAGAAGAAAATTCAGTCACGGTCACCACCATCTCCTGAATATTATGAGATAGTGGGGTTATGTTGTCTTTATAAAGGATGAAATGATGGCTTATAAGAGCAGCAGAGGTCACTGTCATGGGTACCTTAGAGGTTGATGCCTGGCTCTGTCCATACCGTCTCTTACTGTCCTTTTGAAAATTTCCCTTTTGGTGTTACATACCCTGTGTTTTCCATCAACACCAAAATTCAATCCTACCTCTCTTATGGAAGATTTGGGGGTGAATTTACAGTGTGCTGCGGACCCTGGGAAGGGGAGGAAGAACTGGAATACAATATTAACTAGTGAAACATAATATTTAAGATGATCTAGGGATAGACACCACATATTTACTTTAAGGGGCCATGGATGTTACCAAGGAAACATGCTATGGCAGGTAAAACATAGTTAACATCATTTTGTGAACAAGGCATTTAGATAGCTCTGTATTTCATTTAGCTATCCACCAATCATACATGAGCTTTGAGCAAGGCAATGAGAGCTGCAGTAGTGAATAAAATATTCTTGCATTTATGGACTTGAAAGTCTCTCTGTGAGAAACAGGCACATTTTAAAGGAAGTCCTGTTAAGGACATACTTATGACTGTGATAAGTATATGGAGGGAAAAGTTAAGGAACTAAGAGGAGGAAAGATGATAAGGAACTTTGACATGACTATGCAATTATACACAGGGTGTCTCAAGAAATGTATACACACTTTGAATGATTATAAAGTCAGTGTTTATTAACATACAGTTCATTTTCCAAAGTGAAAAGAATCTACAGAAATGAATAATTTTTTTTGTAAATGCAGGTTTTCAAGCTGATGACTGTTCTGGTCCAGACACTGCTGATAACACAAAGCAATGGAATCACAAACATCAAGAGTCATTTCGTCGACTGTCACTGTTTTGTACCATAAACTTTATCTTTTATGTATCCCCCACTAAAAAAAGTCTAGTGGCACTTTAGGACAAATTTTCTTTGTTCAAAGCTTACTCTGGTTTCACCCATTATTTCAAATCAGTTAAACCTGAAAAGGAGTGACAATTAGATGAGTTATCAGCTGTTAAAATGTGTATACATTTTGGGGGGGCACCCTATATATTAGTGAAAAAGCTGATGGAATTAGCAGGGTATGACCAATGACTATTGTCTGTAAATTGCCTTAATTATATGCAATTTTTCTCATAAGAGGAAAAAAAAAAAGAAAAGATGGCATTTGTAGAAAATCTTTGTAGATCTTGCTTGCTTATTTTCTATATTTTGATTAATGATTCAGAAAATAAACAAACAAACTTCTCCCTAGTGCCTAAAATGAAAGAAAAGAGATGCAATTAGATGTTACAATTCAATTTAGTTTAGATTACATGCAGGAGTTATATCTGAAGAGCTCCTATGAATGACAATGGAGTGACATGGTTACAGAAACCCCCTGGTAAAATGTTTACCACGGGAAAAACATTTAAAGGTATTAGAAAGTGTTCTAAGTCAGACTGAGAGCAGAGGGAAATTTATTCTTAAGTAAAACTATACCTGGAAGGGGTAATATCAACATAAAATAATCATACAAAGATCTATATTGGCTACTCGTAATAGCGTTGTGTCCTAAACTGGAAATGACCAAATGTCTATCAACAGTGGTGTTATAGTCATTTGATGCAATAATACTCAGCAATACAAAGGAATAAATTATTATTAGATACAACAAAAATAAATGTTAATACCATTACGCTGAATGAAAGGAGCAAAACACAACATAGCACGTACTATGTGATTCCATTTATATGAAGTTCTGACTGCGCACACTGATCTGCACTGCGGGTGGCAGATGAGTGGTGGCATAGTTACCGACGACAGGGAGTGGGAACTTTTGGGAGGGAAGGACATGGTTTTGGTGGTGCTGATGTGTGCATAGGTTTGTCCAAACTCATTGAACCTCACTGTAACATATGTCCTATAATTTGTTCACATATTTTCTTGAACAATACTGATTTTAATACAAGAGAAAGGATTAGAGACAGAATAGACTTCTACTTCCCATCAAGATGTTGTAAAAGGTACTGTATTTAGCCTTCTCCTTAAAATAACTAAGAAGATGGGCAAAATACATAAAATTCGAGTTAGCGAGTATCGGACAACAAAAGACAATGATCCCTGAGAAATGGAGAACAAAGACGGTGAGCTCTGACGCTGGCCCACTTACTGTCTAGAGAAAGTGTGCGGGCCACAGCACCCTGAGGGAAGGAGCCAGCTGCGTGCAGACTATCAGGCAGAAGAGAACCGAGCAGAGGAAGCTCTGGAGATCTACAGAGGGCCCCCTTCAGCATTCCGTTGAGTCTGATCAGCATTTATATGTGAGGAAACCACCCGAGGGACTGTTCCTGAGAGTCAGAGCGAAAGCTTTGTAATTACAAGGCACCGGGGTAGTGCATTAAGACGGGCCTCGCTTCGCGGTAGGAAAACATTTACCTGAGATGAAACCCTGCTCTGATACTGACTGACAAAGCTTGAAAGCAAGACCCACATAATACAAACTGTTTCCAAATAACTAAATTGCACCCAGGTACAATGCTCAACAAGGTTTATGGAAATACAAAACTAGACAGCGTCTGACAAAGTAACATGCACAGTGTCAGACACCCAACAATTATCGGGCACACAAAGAAGCAGGAAAATACAACACCGAATAAGAATAAAAATCCATCAACTGAGAAATAACAAAATTGATGGAATTGTTAGACAAGCACTTTAATATAATTATAACTGTGTTTCACATGTTTAAGAAGTCGTCACTGGTCCTGGGGAGCCGTCTGTGCCCTGTCCTCCGCATCGCTCCCCACACTGCCGTGTGCACAGAAGTCTACTGTTTCATTGCACAGACTCTGGAGCCGCTGTTTACATGTGTTGCACTCGGAAGACTGTCATCTCCTTGTGTATAGTACACTACGCAGCATATTTTAGGTACTCAATACATGTTTGTTAGATTGAATGTTTTGGAGTTAATTAAGCTGTGTAGAATCCAATTAGTTGGAGTGATATTTGAACAGAAAAGTGCAAAATGAAAACCAGTGTTCAGAAGTGCAGATGGAGACAAAATAGATGTCAGAGGTGTCGCATTTGAAAAAATGGCAGTATTTGATAATTCGGGAGATGCGGACCCTCAGAAATTGAACTTGAGTGACCGACAACACATGTATAATGTTAACAGAACTAAGAAAATCAGAAAGAAGAGCTAGATGTGAAAGCAAATGATGAATTCTGATTTGACTGGTTCTCTTTGAAAAGCTAGCTCAACAATTAACTTTTGGAAGAAAGTCGCATTTTAGATTTCAGGCTAGTTATAAAACAGAGTTTGCTTAATTCATTTATCTCAACAATGCGATGGTTAAGGCAATGATTAAGAAATAAGTGAAAGACTTAAAAAACAGGCAAATAAAATGAGAAAATATATAAACTTATACAAAAATGATGTTTGTTTCCATCTGTTCTCCTTTGGGAAGCCGTTAAGAACTACTAAGCAAGTGCTCTGAGGATGTCACATACGTGTGTGTGCTTATTAAGGCAGCAACGGAGCAGTATAATGCTTTGCATTATGCATTTGCTTTTTATAAATTTTCTTTATGCTTATTTAATGCATATGTTTTTATTCTTTCAGTGATCAAAACACTTTTGTGGTAATTAAGATCACCCCAGACTTCAGGCAGCACAAAATGAGGAAAGCTCTCAAAGCATGCTGTGATATTTGCTAAAAGGTAATTTTTCTTTTTCTGTACTGTCTCCACAGTTAGTAATGCATCACAGGGACATAAGAGTCTTTCTGTGCAAACAATTAGGCCTAGGGAGAGAGAGATTTGCAAATAAAATATTAATGGTAATTTATATCTATTCTTGATCTCTCTCTCTCTCACACACACACACTTTCACCACCATAGTTCCTTACTAAGTTTCCTATTTAAAATGTTTTTTAATTCAACAATTAGAAATAACAGGCACAAATACAAGTATATGAGCACTGAAACCCAAGCTGTAAAATCACTAGCTGTCTGTCCAAGGAGAGAGCTCTTTAACCTTTCCAAACTGCAGTAATCTAATCTGAAAGGTGGAAGTATTTATGTCACGGGATAGGTATGAAGCTAACTGAAGCTATGCAGTTTTGAAGATAAGTCAAGGACATTTTATCACAGTTTTAGGGACATATCAGCCACCCTGATAGCTATGTGTTAAAATGAATAAATACAAATATGTGGTTATGGTGATTTCAGTGTTGGTACATTACAATAAAAGTGTCTTCAGTAAATTTCAGTTTATTAGTCCTGCACCAATAATTCAGTTTATTAATTTGCTCCAGTTTTGAAAAGAGCTGATCAGTGAAAAAAAGAGGCAAGTGAGCAAAGGATGGTAATATTTGTTTTAGAAGCTCAGTTTTATTATGCTAAGAAGGCTTTTAAAAAGTTATGTGGAGCCCAGCCAGCGTGGCCCAGCAGTTCAACATCAACCTAGGATTCAGGAGATGGAGGTTCGATTCCCAGTCTGGGCACATGCCTGGGTTTCAGGCTCTATCCCCAGCAGGGGGACCTACAGGAGGTAATTTAATCATTAATTTTTTTTTTTCTCTCTCTCTCTCTCAAATCAATAAAGACATATATTTTTTAAAAAGCTGTGTGGAAAAATACTATACTTGAAGCTTTATAATTTACTTAAAGAAATGAACAGGAACAGGAGGAGTCTTTTTGAGGTTAAAAAAATATATGGAAAAGGTAGGTATTCAGAATTCAACATAATTCTTGTTGACCCTTGTGGTGTTTTGTTGCTGTTGTTTGCTTGTTTGTTTTTTAATCTTATTAGGGACAAAGAAAAGGTATGCACTGAGCTATTTAGTTTTACTTTGCTTGATTTACAAAATCTTTTGTGGTTTTCATTTAACGTGGAGGATTTCTTGTTACATTTTCCCATAGAAATCATTAAGATA